GATCTTGTGACGGGGTCTATGGTACGGATGCATGCAAAAGAGTGTTACGACAGCGCAGAACTACCAATGGCCAATTTGCCGACTCACACACGTGGTTGCGCACATACTTGCGACGTTGGTTGAAAATATGCTGTTGCAGTTGCGAATGTGATAAAGCGGACCCAGAAAAATCTGCGATTGATGGGTCCTGATTTAATAAGCTGGGGCTAGGGTCAATACTGGTCTGAACGTGGGACAGTGAATAGGCAGGGCGAAGGGGTGATCAGAGCGGATTACACAACGACGACACACACAAGGTTCCCCGACCCGGATCGACCTAGATCGATCTGTGTGGCACACACAATCGATCTAAGATCGACCAATGATGAATGAGTGGCGATCTCCGAGGACGTCCGAGCGATAGTAAATCTTCGATCCACTATCTTTGGCGGTCGATTTTTGGTCTCCGATCTTCGATGTGCGATCACCGCCATCGATTTTCGATCTACTATCTTCGGCGATCGATCGTCGATCTGCAATCTTCGGCGGTCGATCTTCGATCTTTGATCTGTGTGCTTCGATCTGGGATCTACGAACTTGAGTGATGTACCAATGCTTCGGTATGAGACGAGCATGGCTGATATGGGTACAAGGACGCTGTGATTACGGTACACGTAGATACGATTTAGGAATGAGTGGCTGTGCGGATAGGTTAGGGAGCGATATGCAGACTTCAAAATATTCTTTGGACTCCTCACAGTGGACTCATTCTCTTCTTAAGCCACGTGACACTCCATACCAGGCAGGGAACGTATATTGGCCCTCTTGACGACCTATGAGACACCAGCGCACACGAAGGGGAGCCACCGAGAGTCCCTAGATCGCTTGGCTAGGGAGTAATCACCAACCCCCTCAAGATCGCGCTATCGAAGACGGCAAGTAACGAATAAAATAACCAACCACACACAAGGACACATCAATTGATTACTGGATCTACAGTTCGCATCCGGCGGCGCGTGAAGAAGTAACCGCGCAGTAGTCAACAATCCCAAGTACCATCCATACAGCCCCCAAGATCGATATTCAAGGCATCCTCAAGTCACCAGAAGAGTACAACCCCGCCCCACCGACGGGTACACAAGGTGAGAAGAACCTCAGCGTCATCCGACATTCTGAGTACCCCCTCCGTTAGTCGATCGTCGGAGACACTGTAGCGAGCCGGGCAGCGGCAGTCAGTAATTTCTGCCAAGCCCCTTCGCCACAATGGTGAGCGTGCCTGGAGCTTCTGGTGACTCACAGGGATTTCACCATGAGTCCGATGAAGATGTCACCAAGATCAAGTTGGAACCAGGGATTGAGGCGTCACCAGAAGGTGTATCGCCACAGACGCTGCTGAGTAAAGTTGGATACACGCAAAGCCTGAGTGCTGGGAAGAACTCTGACGAGGACAAGGAGGAAGGTCCTACCATGGACCTGGAAGAGAAACCGCACACTTCTCTGCAGGCTCCTCTGGGAGCCCCCTAGGATTGTGACGAGAGTCGCGATCTGCCGGATGAACCTCGGACGGGTTCGAGCCGAAAGAACTTCATCCACAAACAATTGCCGACCACCTGTGTCGGCTCAAAGAAGAAGGAACCGAAGTCGGGAAAGAAGAATCTGAAGGCTCCGGACTCGGATGCGGAAAATCGTAACGAGCAGACGTGGACCGAGGAAGAATTGGCGCAAATATTCCACAAGAAAGACCTCTTCGCGGTCTAACTTGAGAATCCGGTGGTGAAGAACTTGGCCTGACGACTCCACCAACGGAGACGTCTCGACGGTTGGAGACCGCAACACAGCTCCTTCGTACACTGAAAGACGCTGGAATCATGGCAGGGGCGTTCAGCGCGAGTGAGTTGTAAGACATGGAGACGACGGTGATCCACCGCTCTGCGACGTTGCTATACAACAAGCTGGGGCCACTAGTTGAATCTGTCGCACTGCGGGATACGATCAAGCGGACACCAGTCCGCAGCCCCGGAATACCAAACAGGGTCGTCACACTAGACATCGGCTACGTTTGAAGCTGGATCAGACAGTTCGGTCGATCTGCAGCGTATGGCTCTCGGCCATCAGGAGAATCGATGCTGCGGGACGCCAAGCCGGGGCGATTCTCATGCGAGGCGACGTCGGTCGAAACACCAGCACGGAGTCCTGAGCAGATGCAGACATTCTTGACGGCGCCGATGAATCGATACCTCAAGGAAAAACAAACGGGAGGATCGAAGCTGTCGGCGGGTGGAACCGACCAAAATGCCCAAGACGTGGAGATGGAGTCCGTCGAGTAATATCACGACACGCACACCGAATACGAGCCATATAACCTAAGCATCGATACACCACGACAAGCAGTAGTCGCATCCGCAGGAGCCGTTCCAGGACCGACATCCACTTCCTCGAGGATGACGCCCTGGATCTGAGTATCCGCGATCTCGGCACTGAAGGGGTACTCTGGTAAAGACCAGGACGAAGATCGTTGCGAGAAGCTGACTGGACAAGGTGAAGTCTGCGTTTGTCTGAGACCAAGCCCCAGACAGCGAGAAGTGCTTGGTGCTGGGGATCTGCTCACCGGTCCAGTGCACAACTGGTATCGACAGCTAGGCCTATCAACCCGAGGCAATTGGAAAAGCTTATTAGAGGCTTTCCTGAGGCAATACTACGGGAGAGGAGTATCTGCCGCGAGGCAGTACTGCCACCCGAAGAAGCGATCGGACGAGTCAACCATGAAGTATCTTTACCGACTCAATGTGTCCGGTATGCGAGCGATGCTGCAGATCATGAACGACCCGGAGACCATTCGACGCGAACATGTCGAACATTTCATCGGAACGCTAGGTGATCGCGATCTGGTCGATCAACTGGCGCTGCTTCGGTTGACGGACACGGAAGATCTGGAAGGAACCTTACCAGCCCGCCAGCGCGCGAAAGCCCGCCAGGGCAAAGCGCATGCCGGATCAAACAAATTCCGCCACAAGTCCATGCCCGCAAACCAGTCCGTACCGGCAAAACTGCGCAAGCCGAACGAGTGATCCAGAAGGCTAAAGACAGCAGTGAGTCAGAACCCGATGCAAGCGGATCGGAGCAAGAAGACGAATGTCGCCGGATGTACCTCGCAGAATCGAAGGAGCGAGGAATCCAAGCACCTACACCGGAACACCAAGACAAACCCGTCGACCATACACAATGACGCAGAAGAACGACCCCCATTGCGGGTCCACAAAGAACGACAAACTGGGATGTTGGAAGAGACTGACTTACCAGAAGTGGCACCCACCTGACCACTTCCGTTTCTTCTGTCGCGCATGTGGAGAGATGCACGGCCCCGGGGAAGGTCCCAATGGAGGAATTTTACAATCAGATCTGCCGGTGGTATGCCCCGAACAAACACGCAGGAATGCTTCCAGCGAATGCGGAGAAGATTTTGAATTAGAACGCTCACCAGGTTGAAATCTGGTACGAGCCGAATGTTATGAGATATACATTTTTGCTTACATCAAGAAACGAGAGAAACCGGAGGTTAATAAGCAGATCGACAGTACATGTGAATTGCACAAGAAACCTACCTTTGCGACCGCGAACTTGGGGAAGAAGCATAGATGTGGTCATGGAGTTGCTTCTGCCGCCAGGGGAGTCAAGAGGATACTAGAAGTATCACGTTCCTGGTAAGTGGTTAAAACAGGCCAAGCCAACCGCCAAAATCAACAACGAAAGTGCTGCACTTCGCTTAGCCTCCGGAGCGGAGATCACAAGTGTGGATTCTACTTTTGCTCGGAAGGTGGGGTGCACTATAGACAATAGTCAGAGGCAAGAGTGTGTGGAGATCGGATAGAATGCATACATGACGGACGGACGTACCCGTATCAAAATCACATTCGCAGGAGCATACGAATACTACTTCGACGCATGGGTCGGCATCTTGTCGGGTCAGGAGGCGATCTTGGGGATGGACTTCATGGTCCCGGCAGGTATCCGTCTCGATCTGGCCGATGAGTCCTTCAGCCTCCTAGACGAAGTACGCATCCTGGTATCGTGGCGTCGGCAGCACTTCAGCGGAAACGCAAGACTGATCATGTTCGACGAACACGGTAATGTAGCTGGGTCCGTGGAGAACGCCGTCCGGAGATCGCTGGCGGTAAAAAGAAATTGTGGGTCACCCGCTGAGATCGATGGGTCCCGACGGTGGTTAGAGGACTAGGCCGGACGCAGTACCTACGGATTACAAACGTGTCAGATCTACCAATAAACCTGCAACGCGACACCCGTATTGGAATCTGGTTAGCGGGGGATCACGTACCGCGGACCCTGGGATACGTCTCGGTCGGATCACGAAGATATGCAAAATGGCGGAACCTGACGTTTCAAGCCACCACCGACGAAACACCGATAGAGGCAGATCGACAGGCTGCAGTACGACACACCAACAGCGTTTTTGGAGAAGGACCCGAAATCGCGGAAGGTGATGTCAGTCCAACCATCACCCAGCGTAGAGACGAAGATCGAAGACCCGGCGGCAGGTGGTAGATCACTAAAACCTGGATCGGATGACGTAGATCACGTCACTACGGAAGCCATGAGGGTAGATCAGAGACAGCTCGAGCCGAGGGACCAGAAAGGCGCCCCCCATCAGAAGATCGTATCAGCGGAAGTGCTGGTGAAGTCTGACAGAGAGGCCGACGACGGCATGGATGACGCAGTCTGCTACCCCGAGGGAGGAAACATTTTCCCTCCAAACACCGAGAACCACATGGCGGTATCGCCTGAAGTCTAGCCAACACAAGAGAAGACGATTTACGGGTGGAGGATCCATATGCGACGCCAGAAGAGTGCGAACGGCTGCGCCGCATCATATGGAAGCGGCGTCGCCGCTTAAACGGAGCAGGAAACGCACTGCCCCCCCGCAACCCATGAGACGATCTGCGATATTGATGTCGGAAATGAAAAACCTGTAGCCCAGCGATGCCGAAGAGTAATCCCACAGTTCCATGAGAAATTATCCATGCCCATCCAGGGACTACGATCACCACTCCATCAGCCTCACCCTGGGCGTCACCAAACGTGGTCATTATAAAGACCAACGACGTGGATATCCGCTTCTGATCAATTACCAAGTGGTAAACAGCTTGACGAGGCTGATGGTGTACCGGTTCGGGTTATCAACGATATCCTCGAAGACGTGGACAAGGCGCTTTGGTACTACTCCCTCGATATGGCGAGTGGATTATGGGTCGTGTTCATGACGCCGCGGGCGAGACTGATCTCAGTATTCATCACGCCATTCGGTTTATTCGAGTGGGTGAGAAATGCCGCTTGGTCCGACGACCTTCTCGTGACTGGAGACATGTGGGGCAGCATGTGTAACAAGGACGAAAAGATGCTGGATGTATGTGAGCGTTGAAACCTATCGATCGGTGTAGCCAAAAGCTACTGGGCGGCACAAAGTGAACTACCTGGGCCTGCAAGTGTCGACAGACGGGTTGGGGGCGAAGCCGAAAGACCTCGAAGCCTTCTCGAATCTCCCGTTCCCCACCAAACTGAGTCGATGCAGTCATTCCTTGGAAGGCTGAATTACTACAGCTGCTGCAACGAGGACTTTGCAGTCTATGCAGCGATCTTGTATGAGCTTCGGGAAGTATATTACTACCCAAGCGCACGGTTGCAGTTGACCGGGGAGCCGGAGGAAGGGACAGCATCAGCGGACGAGGAACACGATCGGTGGACACGATCAATGGATATGTTCACTATATTCAAAACGAAGATCATCTCCACCCCGATCTTAAAGCACTTCGGTCGGGGGCGGGCGCGAGTCATAGCCCTCTATGCTAACAAGTGGGCGATCTCGGTGGCATTATTACAAGAACACGGCGGTGTGTATTGGCCAGTCACCTTCACCAGTCGGACGTTAAAGACCAACGAGTTGAACTATGGGATCGTAGTTAATGAGGTCCTGCATCTTCTTGATTCTAGGCGGAGGCAGACCCTTATGTGGCTTAGAGCAAATTCGAGTCTTTTTACTTTTATGCCTATGTCCTCTGACCATCCGCAGCTGCTTTCCTACAATCACCTGACATCTGGATACATGACTTATCTTGGGATCGGCGATCGAACCTTGATGAAACCTTGATCGGACCTTAATCGAGGCTCGATTGGACCTTGATCGAACCTTGATCGGTAGCTCGGCCGATAATCTTGGTCGGGATGCACGGTCGACGATCTCGACCCGGCGTCTCGGTCTCGGTTGGGATTGTCGCTACGGGAACCCAAAGCCGTCTCGTGCCGTGGGTGAATGGAGGCTGCCTCTCGACGATCTCGTCTTGCCTCTCTCTCGGAATTCCGGATCACCGTCTTCCCTTGATCCGGGGTCGCCTGCACCTCGCGTATCTTGATCGGTGATTAACTTGACTTCGAGCGTCGCTGTCCCCATCGATCCCGGTCCGTTGGTCCACTATAACTCTGGTTCGTTGATGGGTAGCGAGTCATGCCTACAGATCTCCCTTAATCCGGCATTCTCGCGATACGATCTGGGTATGTCGCCATCCATCATTCCGTTGGGTCGATCTTGGGTCATCTGCAGTCGCTCTTGGGTTATCTGTAGTCCCCATCACTCACCTATGTTGTCGCACGTTTGATCTTTAGGAGGTCACTTGATGTCTGGGTCTGGAGTGGGATTTCTGTCACCTGGTCCGTCTCTATCTCGCGATCTTACAGCCGAGGTGGTCTTTCTCGTTATATTTCGATCGCACTTCACCACAGCCGCTCTCAGCCTGTAAGTTGGACCGTCCTGCTTCACTTCAGGTCCCATTCCACAATTCGCTGACCCGGACGCAGTCCTCTCCACTCCTTCACCAGCGATGTCCGTGAGCCATCCCGGAAACAACCCCGGGAGTTCTCCGATTCCAACTCCTCCCGATTCGCCCCAGTCCCTGCGAGCAATCGTTCCTGACACTCCAACATCTCGCGCCGCTCGCACTCCCACCCTCCGATCGGGATCGGCGGGTAGCCACCCTGGAGGGAGAACTCCGCCAGAGCCACCTTACGCAGGATCGCCTCGTCCGTGATAGAGATCAGCTCGATCTGCAAGTCCGCCAGCTGCGATCCGAGATCCGCGATATGGAAGGGTTCCTGCTCGGCCAGCGAGATGAGATCACCCGACTTGAGGGAGAGATCTCGACTCTTACCCACGACGCTGGTGACGACCCTGAAGGACTCCGTGCCCAGATCCTCCAACTCCGTACCGAACGTAACGACTTCGAGCGTCACACGGTTTCCACCCGTGAGGACCTTCTTTATACCGAGGCGGATCTAGATCGCTTGCACCGGGAAGCCGCTCATTCCAGCGACGAGATCGGGGACATGCAGGAGCACGTCCGCGTTTTCGAGCATGAGAACAACGACGCAAGATCCGAATCCACCACCGCTCTCGCTAGCTATGACCGGAACTCATCTAGCCTCACCAACCCGCAGCCGGATCGGGGGGGATCGCCCCTGGGAGGCATGACTCGTTTGGTTCAGGCGCACCAGGATCACGTGCTGGCAGATTTCGCGCTCACCCGTGCCACCCTGCCACATGTCACCTCCGATCGGGATCGGGCCCTCAGGCAACTCGCACAGACTACCGAGGATCGAGATCGGGCGCTTGTAGATCGCGACTGGGCGCTCCAGCTCCGTAATCAGGCAGCTCCGTAATCAGGCAATCGCCGAACGCGATCAAGTCCGCCTAGATCTTCTCGCCGAGGCTGCTCGAGTTGCCCTGCTGGACGACGATCTCGAGGTGGCTCGCCTGGAGCTTCAGGAATCGGAGAGCAGGTTGACGGATCTCCAGGTCGCCCACGACCAACTCGGTGTGTTGCAAGATCTTGCCGAGAGCGATCTGAATGAGACCGATGTGCTCCTCAGGCATCTCGCCAGCCGATACAGTGGTCTTTTGACTATGAGGTGTGACAGCGGATTATTATAAATGCCTGAAATCTTGCGCGAACTTAGACTTGACTCTAGTATCGTGCGAAATTAATGCGCCCGATTCATGACATTTGTAATTACAGCCATATCGCGCTCCATTGTGATCGTCCAGAGTAAAATTTGCATCCAAAAAGGCGCGCGGCGACAAGAGGCATATCGAGCACCAAATAATGGGGCTGACGTGGCGAAATCACCGCAGTCAAAGAAAACCCAGACAAGTACTACAGGAACATCCCCGTTGAAAGTCAATATGATGACGTCGTGGCTCACGGGTCATCACCCTGACACCGCGGACTGAGAGTCAACGACACTGCGAATTACACTACCTCAAGATTCGATTCTTCGGTAACATTTTTAGCGCTGCTGACACGTGTGAGCGGAACAACGTGGGCTCTAGAGCAGCATCAAACACACCCTTGGTCGCACCATCCTTTTGGGGATATAGCAGCTAACTAGTAGGTGTCTACCGAAGCCACCTTCTTGAATTGAATACGTAGGTAGACACAGAATTTCAGAGTATTAGAGGGATATGAGAAGGTTATCAACAGCCTAAAAACGAGGATTGATGAAGATTAGCGAAGGCAAACGACAGCTGAAATAGAACGGATTCGAGTTATTACCTTTGAAGATGACGACTCTGGAACCGAAAACCAAAGGCCAGGCTTGGTCTACAGTGCTGTTTGGTAGTATTTTTTGTGTTGACGTGGGACCTGATGTGTCGGGCAGACTCTATTGACACGATCATGTTTCGACACATGGAGTGGATAGAAGATTGTCTTGTTATTGAGTAACATTGCACAAAGGCGACCAGACTGGAGCAGAAAGTTTAGAAAGCCCATACCTGCCGCATCAATGTGCTATACTAGCCCATCCTGTTCACTTGTTCCATGCCCCGAACGCTCTATCGTTAGAAAGTAGCATCTTTTGTTGGACGTGACAGTAAAGATCATGTTGCGCAAATCCTTCGTCGTGTCATCAAGTCATTAAGTAAGGAAGGGATGTGCGAACTTAGCTGCACTCCTGAGGACATAGATTGTCACAGTTTTTCCAAAGGTAGCAGTTCATACACTCTCGGCCAAGTCAATAGATCCACCCCAGTATCCATGTATTTGCTAATTGGTCAGAGTCTCGGCAAACTCAAAGATCGATAAATTCACTTCGGCAAGGGGCAGACCAGCTCTGTGGCAGATGATAGTTGGTTTGCCATTCGACTCAGAGCGTTTTGGCGTGCTACCGCCACATTTCCCGCCAGCAATATGCAGTAAAATGACGATAAGATACTGTGATCAAGTTGTTAGTGGTTTCTCGGATTGCACACCTCGTGGGTATTCCCCTTCCTATTGGTATATCTTATCTGTCATGAGCGGTATCTGTGGGACACCCAGCGTCGTAATCTCTCAGTATTTAAGTCGCGCGTGTTCTCAGCAAACCCTCTTCTCCGAGAATAGCGTGGTTTGGCGATACTCGCAATAGGTAATTCTCCCGTTACAGGGTTAAAGCGACACCCATCTTGCGATCGCAAAACAAGTCAACCAATTGAAGGAAGTCATGGTTAATCTCCGCAACGAGATTAGCAGTCCGAATATCGAACTGCCAAGCCAAATCGCAGGCATGGTCGTTAATGAATTACGTCACTACACTTAGTTAATGGTGTCACACCTATTTCGCTCCACAACCTTGATTCGAGAATGATTGACATGGAGCCCGTTTCACGGCACGGTTTGCAGTGCCCTTCATTGTGTGCAATAATGCAGTAGCAGCTCTGACTCCGAAACTACTTGTGATCAACAGAATTGGCAAACGTGGTCGTGGGACGCCGGTCAGATTTGTCACGCAGTGCCAAACGGGTAGGAGTTCCCTTCACGAGCCAACGTAAAGACCCTCTGGAACTTGTGATATATGGAGACAATTATACTAGGATTCGTCCGTACCGATTGCTACGTAATCAACACGACATCATGCCGCAGCATCGTGACACGAAGTCGGTGAAAACTTTTCGTGTAGGAGATGTATAGCGTA